GTTGAGGGGGTTTGGGGGAATTTGGGGTTGTGGGGAATAAAAGGAAGATGCTGGGATTTTTCGAGGTGGAGTGTTCGATGATGGAAGAGAATAATTGCCCAAAAATAAATAAATTATAACAAGTACTAACTCCCTATAGTTTTCTTCTTCCAAATATGAATAGGAAGGGATTATAAAACAATTTAGTTTTAATGCATAGTTAAGTTAAATTAGGCTTAAGCTTTCTTAACCAACAAGAAACTAACTTTCTTGTGTTCTTGAAGGAAACATAGCTTAATTTGGAACACACAAATATGATACTTGTTTTCAATGAAGACCAAAGTTGTTGTGATGGAACTAGCTATGAACGAGAAACCTTGGGTTAAGAGACACGTTTTAGGTAGTGCTAATAGCATTAGCATTTTATAATATGAGTTAATTTTGTCATCGTAAACTATTAACAAGAAATTCACATGTTACAATATGAGTTGATTGGTAATATCGCCTAATAGTATAACAGTTTGAAAAACTTCTCTATGCATATAGTTAATTAACGCTATTAACCTTTTGTGTGTATGCCTCTCTCTCTCTCTTCTAATAATTGAACATATTTTCTCACGTAGTCTCTTAGTTTTCTCTTTTGCGTTCCTAAAACAATTAAGAGAATTGGTATTGGGAAGGTATTAATTGAGAGTTGTTATTGACAATGTAAAAAGGATAATGATAGCGAGTTCAAATTTGTAAATCAAATGATGTGTCATTAATAAGAAAAAAAAACACGTTAATCGATACTTAATTAATAATCTAGTCATCTACAGCCACATCATTTAGTTTGCAAATTTAGTTTAAAATTTTAATCTCCCAAACATTACCTCTATAAAAAAAGTTATCATGTACTCATTTGTGTGTATTTTGTTCATTGTGTTTTTAGAGATGAAGAGTACATAATCACTTTTATGGAGCGTTGATGACACCTCTTAGTTAGGAGTAACACACTTCACAATTGGAAGTTAACTTATGGATAATGGTTGTATCCCCTTGACAAGTGAGCTCATTCCCCACTTGCAAATAATGCATCTTCATTGGAAAAGTTTCATAATAGAAACCATTCAATATCTATCTTCATTTGAAGACCATTTCTATTTAAAAATCATTTGAACTGGTGATTGTTAGTCTAACGATTCATTATAAATATGTTACTTGGTATCTGCACCGTTGGTTTATTTAATACATTTGAATGACTAAACAATCACCAATTCAAATGATTTTTGTACGAATGATCTTCAAATAAAGACTAATAGATTGAACAGTTACGACTACGAAATTTCTAATTTTAAGATACATTATTTGTAAGTGAAAAAAAGAGTTTATCCAGAAAAAGAAATGCAAGTACTATTATTGTACAACAATAAAGTCTCTTGGCAAAAGAAAGCCATCTTTTTAGCAGGTTCGTTAATGATATTGTTACGGGCGATGGGCCTAACTTTTGGGCCTTTCTTGGCTGATCGAGGTCCCCAGCTTGGTAACGAATAATGATAATGATAATGCAGGGCCTCTTCTTCTATTTATTGTCTTTGGGCTTGATAATGCAAAAGCAATATGTCCATCATCTCATTTCTTTTTCTTAATGCTATTTAAATTGTGGCCAAAATGTAATATGCTTACTTATCGGGAGTAACTTATATGAAACAGATTCATTCCTATTATAACATATCGTTTTATAAAGTAATGTCAGGTGAAAAAAAAAACACACACACACACACACACATATATATATATCATTTTATAGTATTGAATCGAAACGCCATATGATGGTGAACTCGTTTCATATAAATATTTTTCTATATAAAGGGTTATACATTAATCATTCCTTGCAATTAAACTTTCCCCAAATACGCGTTTTAGCTTTTTCTATTAGCTTTTGGACTTTGGAGCGTTGCACTAGTTTTGTTCCCTCTATAATTTGACCTATACATACAAAAGTATAAGATCGCCTATATCTATCAACCCTACGAGGCTATCTACCTATATATGACCTAATATTAACGTGTTCTTATTATTGAGCTTGAAAGCGATGAACCGTATAGCAATTTGGAAGAGTCCGAATCGATCCAGTTATTGGTTCCCACTTCCCACCAAACGAATTTTCTGTTTTCAAATCATTCTCGACCGTTTAAAATTTGACTTTTGTTACACATGTGTGTTGTCATATACAACAACTGCATAAAAAATTTCATAAACTTTAGACTAAGTAACCTCTAGCCAAATCAAACCAAATCAAGCTACGTAACGAATTAATAGTTTGAATCTACAACGACACTTGCTTTTAAATTTATGATTAAAAAAAAATGGAGGAAATGTGTGTCTACTTATTGATAATTGATAAGTTGATTATCATTGTCGCAAGGGAATATTTTAATTTTAGCATGAAACACGCCATGCCAGCAGACCTAGGGACTCCTATGGGGTTAATGGTAGGGCTAGTGCCTTATCAGCTGCAAGCGAGAAGAGATATTTTTCTGATTTCTTCCACCAAGATCATCAGATCAAGTGATACGGATTATTGAAATTTCATTCAACGGCCCATCTGTTTTGACCTCTTAAAAGCTATAATAATTTTTGACCGTTGGATGAAATTTCAAAAGCTCGTATCACTTAATCTGGTGGCCTTAATTAATCTTTGATCAGCAATTATACTAAACACTAATTAATTAAGTAACCAAAGTTCAAATTCTTTCAAACCACCTTAGAAAAATTTGAACTCAGGTGCAGATAAGAAAACAGAATGTGTACCTAATTTAGTTACTGTGCATGCTTTTTCGAGTTAACTACACCCACAAATTTGTTTACCTCTCATTCTTATAATTTAAACGAATTCCCTAACTACAACCCCGCGTAATAGCATATCTAATGCATGCAAACTATCTTACGCAAACATGTTATTTAGCCTCCACATTCGATTTTTAATTAGGTTAAAATAGTCAGGGTTTTTCAAGGGGCCAATTTAACATGCGATGTATGATGTATCAGATACAATGTTAAAGGGAAAATAGAGATACCTTTTACGTTAACAATAATATGTGAAAATATCTACATGATTTATAGAGTCACGCATTATTGTCTTACAGGAGAATCGTAGACAATATTATATTTGTGTGTGTTTATAACTTCTTGTTTATGATGTTCCATGCTGGAATTGGATCTCATATGGATCCAAATTGTGAGGATCTTAGAGATTCTCACATCTTAACAAATCGTCGTGTATCGTGCGATCATAAATCATTTGATTTTTTATTTATTTAAAATTAAACACGAATGATACCTGAAAAAAACTGACCGTACAATGTACGATGAACAATTAGGATGAAGGGATCTCTAAAATCCTCACAAAATAAATCCAAAAAGGATCATCTTCCCTTCCATACACATACAATGATACTATGACAAGTCTTATACATAAAATACAGACGACCAAACTTGGATTAAAAAACACAAACAGTTGTACTTAAAATTCTTCTTTGGCTATAGACGTCTATCATTTTGGGATATTCATCAACAGTGCCCAAACGACAACCTAACTTTGTCGTTTTCCATGCTAGGGTGTAATCTTATGACAGAAAATTCAAGAAAAACAACCCAATAAATAGAAAAAGTACACCAAAAAAATATGTATCGCTCGGCGCCATAAAATGCAACATAAATCTAAGATTTTTATATAAATATTATTTTACGTTCAACTCTCTCCATAAAATAATTGCCACTTTCTCGTGAATACGTGCGGACACGTGTCCTATAGACAGTTGATGCATGGACACCTATGCAAACAAGTCACAAGGTCACAGATACAAACCATCTTCTTTTTTTTATGGTCAATGGACAAACCATGTTCAAGAATCAAAATAATACTCGAAGCAAACACGAAACAAAATTGTATAATAAATAAGACTACAAATCTACATGCAATGTGTTTGCAAATAATGAACTTTATTTGGAATATTGTGTATTGTTTAAGGCAGTTGAGTGGTGTATTTTTGAGATTCGATTCGTAAAGTATGTGTTGCTGTCATGTACTTGAATTTTAAGATCAAACAATCAAATAATACTTCTGGTTGTTTTTTAAGTCATTTACATGCAAGCAATACAAAAAATAACTCATTGTAAAATGATATCGGGTTAGTTTGAAAGTGTTTTTAAAATGACGTAAAATCTTTTGATGAAATTATTTTTAAATTTTAAAAATACTTAAGTGTTTTTTTTTCTTCAGAATTCACTTGTATTTTACCACGTAATGATCATTTTCGATCTTTGCCATATCATAGCATATTGCTAAAAGAAATAACATGTCAAGTCAACCATACCACTCAAGTAATATTTTGAAAAAAAATGACATACTTGAAATGGATAGAAAGAGAAAGTACTTTTTTCCCTCACAAGTTAAAGGCACTTTTTGAAAATGTAATACTCCAAACTCTTGAAAAAAGATGTTGATAATTTTAATCTCCTCCAAACACACACGATCAACTTGTAGAAGCATATACGTTAACAAAACACTAAATTGACAAAAAAAAAAAATATTTAGAATTTTGATAATTGAGTTATGTTTAAATTTGATGGAATTTAACTTCATACACCTAATGTAAATTTATAAACTTTTATTGTAAAGACAATTGTAACTTTCCATTTCATGAAATGATTGACAAATTTAATGGCCAAACAGTGCAAATTGGACAAGTTATCCTTTACGACTAGTGACGAAAAACAATTGAGTCCATGCACTCTAACGTATATTTAATTCATTTCCAAATTTTTATATCTCAATTGGGCAGACAAAATTTAAAATAATTTAACAATTTAGAGTTTCAAGCAATTAAAAAAATTATGTTTATCTTTTCATAATTTTCAATTAAAAGAATATTAAATTATTGTCCCTCTTTCTATCTACTTTCTCTTTCTCTGGTTTATGTGGAGCCCATGGCTGCCTATATGCATTGCTGGCTCTCACCGATCGATTTGTTGGTTTTTCTTTTAAGGGGGTTTCTCAGCTGATAAAATAAGAGGATTAAAAAAGAGAGTTTCAGTTCGTTCAATCACTCTGATTGAAAGCTCTCCCCTGTCAAATAAAATCACTCTCTTTCTTCTTCCTCTTCCTCCTCCTCCTCCACCCTTCTGCATTAAACCCACAAGAAAAATCCCAAATCAGAAAGAAAAAAAAAACCATAAAAGTTGAGAAATTTATTTCAAAACCAAAAGCAGAAGTGACCCCTGTCCAAAAACCCTTTTGCCCACGGTTTTCAAGTTTGATGGATCTGCAGATCTAACGCGTAAACACCCACATGTATTGCTCTGTTTCATTTAGATCTCCGTCGTTTTCACCAGCCAAGGTTCAGTAGCTGACATCAAAACTGCCTAATTTTGCACTGTGAGTTGATTTTTCTTGGTTTTTACTCTCTGATGTGCTGTTTTTGCTATTGGGTAATCAAAAAGTACAGTAATTTGTTATCGGGTAACTGGAAAGTGTAGTAATTTGTTAGTGGGTAATGTTAAAGTTGCTTTGGGCGTGTAGAGATAATTGTGTGGTGGAAGTTTGGTGTGTAAAGTAGTGGTAGCTGTGACTGTCACTGTTTTCCCAAAACTGTATGTTGGTTGTGTTGCTTTCTTTGTTTTCAAGGTAGTATTTAGTACAAATGCAGATGGGGTTGATATTTCATGCCTGATTTTATCATTTGATCATATTTTTGAATGAGCCTGTTAACTAAATTTGCATTGTAAAGTTTGATTCTTTGGTTAAGTTTGTGGTGAATTTTGATTAACTTGTTTTAATTGTACTGTATTAATTGATCGGTTTTGGGTTTTATATTTCGATTTTTTGGTCTTCAGGAGAGGAGGCCGGTGTGGTGGGGTCCTTGGTTGTGAGAGGGATTGCATCCATTTTGGATGTGGAAGCATTGGAGGCTGGCCCAGGTGAAATGAGGGATGTTATCAAGGTTGATGAACATTCTGAGGGGCTGCTGGCTGCCTTCCTCGGACCGGTATGGACACTCAGGTTCGGATGCAGCTGGCAGACAAGAAGGGCTACTTTGGTACAAAGACACTGGGCAGCACATGAATGGTGAATTTTCAATGGCTGTTGTGCAGGCCAACAATTTGCTTGAGGATCAAAGCCAGGTTGAGTCTGGTCCCTTGAGCTCGCTCGAGTCTGGCCCGCATGGCACCTTTTTCGGAATATATGATGGTCATGGTGGTCCTGAGACCTCCCGATACATCAATGATCACCTATTCCAGCATCTAAAACGTAAGCTACTTCATCCCAGTCCCAAATGCACTTTCTAGCAAAAAAGTGTGTGTTAGGGAAATTAAAGTCGATTCACTCAAACTAGTCCATGTTAGGATTCATTATCACGGAATTAAATGAAGCTCCTTACTACAATTCAGGGGCTGTGTATTATCTATTTCTGATTGATGATTTCTTAGGATTGAAATGAATTCATTGCTGACAATTCTGTTAATCTTGGTTTATTTTCAGGGTTCACTTCAGAGCAACAGTCCATGTCAGTAGACGTGATACGTAAAGCATATCAAGCAACAGAAGAGGGATTCCTCTCTGTTGTTACCAAACAATGGCCTATGAAACCCCAAATTGCAGCTGTTGGATCTTGTTGCCTTGCTGGTGTGATTTGCGGTGGCACCCTTTACATTGCCAACGTTGGTGACTCCCGTGCTGTGCTGGGGAGAGTTATGAAGGCTACAGGGGAGGTTCGTGCCATCCAGTTGTCATCAGAGCACAATGTGGCCATAGAATCTGTCCGACAGGAGATGCATTCTTTGCACCCTGATGACTCACATATTGTAGTTTTAAAGCATAACGTATGGCGCGTGAAGGGCTTGATACAGGTAACTTCATTGCGTTAATTACAGTTTATCCATCACAGATTCTATGATTCATGGTAAAGTGCTTTCTTTCCTATTTCCTAAGCTAATTCAATATTGACTCGTTTAATTGTTGAAGAAGAAGATTGAAATGACTAATCAGTTTGGATTATTAGATAGAGAACTGTGGCTCCCAAAAGCAAAAAAAAAAAACGATGTTAACATCTACCATGCTAGGGGACTAAGATGCTGGTTTTGGTTTGAGCTACTACATAGGCTTGTAGGCTAATGTTTGTTTTCATTTAAAGAATAAAGATTTCATGTGGATAATTATCAAACATGATCCATGGCGGGATAATACCTGGCCTGAGATTGATTCAAATTTCAAGCAGTGATAAATTTCCATTATTTTTGGAGCTGGCGTAGAGCTGCTATTAATTTTCTATTTCTGTGATAGAAACGACTAAGCACATGCTGGGTGTTACTGAGTTTCGTGGTTATGATCATAAGTGCCATTTTCTTTTCTAAGATTACTTTATTTTTGGCGTTCAATGAATCAAAATTATGGTTCTTGTTTGAATATTTGGTTGTTATTGATATTAAGGGTAATGATATTTTTCTTCTGCAGGTTTCTAGATCTATTGGTGATGTATATCTTAAAAAGGCTGAATTTAACAGGGCGCCTTTGTATACTAAGTTTCGGTTGCGAGAACCTTTTAAAAGGCCAATTTTAAGCTCTGAACCATCGATCTCTGTGCATGAACTTCAACCACATGATCAGTTTCTCATACTTGCTTCCGATGGGCTGTGGGAGCACCTTACCAACCAGGAGGCAGTTGATATTGTTCAAAATCACCCACGCAGCGTAATTTACTTATCTCTGCAGTTCGATTTTGTTTAATATGTTTGAATAGCCAGTTAGATGGTGGGCTATATTTGGGGTCTATGTGCCAAATGGGCAAAGTGGACTTTGAGGAGCATATAAATGCTTGTATTGATAGGATCGAGTTTATGACTACGAATACAGGAGCACCACAGAATAGTGTCAAACACCATATTGCGAGTGGTTAAAAAGAGAAGGAACATGATTTTACTTGCTTATTGGTTTTCAGGGAAGTGCTCGGAGGCTTGTGAAAACTGCCTTGCAGGAAGCAGCTAAGAAAAGAGAAATGAGATACTCAGACTTGAAGAAAATAGAGCGTGGTGTCCGCCGGCATTTCCACGACGACATAACAGTCATAGTTTTATTCCTTGACTCGAACCTTGTGAGCAGAGCCAGCTCAATGAGAGGCCCTACTTTGTCCGTGAGAGGAACCGGTGTTCATATACCATCAAAAACTCTTGCCCCATGTTCCACACCCATGGATACCTGATGGGAGCCAGCTCATGAAATATTGTATCTATTGTTGTGTCCCTCTGAGAACTCCGGTGAACCGTCAGCTTGTACATCCGAGAGAGAGAGGTAAGAGAAGGTCCAGTCATTTTTTTTCACTGTACAATGTAACAATTAACTTGAATATGTAATTTATTTTTAGTTTATGAGATATTCAGCAGAGGTATAAAATGAAAGAACCAAAAGATGTAGAGCTACAAAGGTGACAGACACATAAAGATTCTTTCTTGAGGACATAATCTTCTCTACAATTTTTATTTTTTATTTTTCTCTGAATTCTGAAATTGTCAGGATGGCCCGAGGATCAAATTGCTGCAACATAGAGCTTCCTTGGATCAGGATCCTCTCCTAAGCTTAGGAGGCTGAGCCTCTTGAGCAAACTCATCGGACCGTTGAAATTTGATCCAACGGTTACAAATAGGGGCCCTTTAGAAAGTTATAATAATTGTAGCCGTTGAAACAAATTTCAATGGTTCGATGGGTTTGCTTAGGAGGCTGAGCCTCCTAAGCTCAGGAAAGGATCCCGATCCAGCTTCCTTAACCTTGAATGTGTGGTTTGTTGGGTCCATAGATATCTTATAAATTTGGCCGTGTGGAACGGGTTTATCGTCGCGTGGTGTTTTAGTCTATTATTATAAGACCATGTATTAGTAACGTAGGATGTCGCAAAGACGATGCACCTATTGTCTCCTAAATGGGAGAAGAAGAGAACACACTTCCGTATACCTAATGGTATGCAAGCGTTGCATTCCAGTATAATTACGCGATGTTATGTTGGAACGTGTAAAACCATGACACTCTTATTCATTTGGGATGTCTGGGTAGTGTAGCTAAAGGTCCTTCCTAAACGGATGTTGGCTCTGAAATAAAATCAAGGGATGAGATTGAATACCTTTTCTGTCTTTAGTTAAACATGGACGTATGGAGCATATGAGCAGGAAATTTGTTGACCCTAAAAACTACCAAGTCTACATGGCGAGCAGGTCAAGTAATTAATAAGCTAACTACGTCCTTCGGTTGTGTGTGGGGCGTGCCAACTCGTTGGCCGAGCTCAGCCGAGGAGTAAAATGTGTTGATGCTGCGTTGAGCGCTCTGCTGACTTCTTGATCTTGTGACTACGGTCGAGGAAGGAACACGTCTTGGCCTTCGGGTTCTAGAGCCTGAAGACAAGACTGCTAGTTCTGTGAAGTTCAATATCAAATTTGACTTTCAATGTCCCCGAATGTAATAACATGGTAACACCTCACTTCACCAAGAAGCTGATGAGATGACCTTTGCCAACAAGGATTCGAAAATCCTTCTCGACCGAGACTTGGATAGATAACCAGTCGGCCTCGACGCAATACTGTTTATCCAAACTGAAGGTACTTCGAGGTCGGCTGATTTTACGGCAACAATGCTGTTTATCCAAACTGAAGATGTCACCGGTTGCCTTCATAGTGCTGTTTATCCAAACTGAAGATGTGTCGGCGGAAAAAGAAAATAAAAATCTCAAAGTGTTTGAGAGGTTTCGCGTAGAGTGAGAGTTTGCACAGGGCAGTTTATGTGTTGAAGTAGAGAGGCTTAGAATGATGCACCCTCTTCTTATTTATAGCAGCCAATCTCGTCATGGCCGAACCAGAACTATACTCAGATTAGGATTCTTTATCCTAATCTAACCAAGTCTCAGCCAATCCTACCTCCATTAGGCCTTTGAACCAAACTCTTTATCTGACCACATTCACTTTTCAAATCTCAGCATCCTCATCCCATTGAGACTCATTATCATGCTAGGATTCGACTTTCCCATCAATTCGTCTCATACTAGGACTCGGCCGATCTTAACCGAGCGGCCCATAATAACTAGAATTCGGGATGATTCTAGAATACTGCCGGGCTGAGAACAACTCCTAACTTGACCCACACCAATTTTTTGGGCCTAAACATTACCCCTCGCTTCTGAGGTCATTGGCCTTCATTCCTAGGCCGAGCCTCGACCTTGAAGAAGCGAAATCGACCCTTATACCTCTATAAAAACTGAACTGCCTCGAATCACCTAAACATGCGCATTTATGGGACACGATCACATGTCCCTGGTTCCTGCCATGTGTCAGTCCTCTACTTACTTGTCCCCTAATGATGACATTTAAAACGTGTAGACGCCAAACAATCTCTGTATCATTAATCCTGCTGTTACACTTAACAACGCTTCCTTGAATCACAAACTGCCAGGTCATTGAATCGTCTATTCATCATGAAAACTTGCCACCACACGTCACCACATCGCCTCAATCTATGAGTTCTTCAGTCCTTTCATATGGATTCCCTAAATATCCGTGATGATTGCACAACTGTTGACTGGTCTTACCCTCTCTTTTCAAAAATCAAATGATTGGTCTCCTTCCAAAACCCCTATAAATGCCCGAATCCCTTCATTTTTTTCTTTACGCTTTCAGAAATCCTAAACCGTTCTTACCCTTTGCATTCGAATTCCCAGAAAACCCAGAAACTCTCAGCCTAGAAACTCTTCGAGTCCTTATCAATGGCTTTCTTCATTTCCAAGTTTTCCGACGAATGCAACAAATGCCAGGACTTCATCGATCTAAGTGCCATCAAGACTGTACGCTTCGAAGATGATTTGATTGCTTCCCATCAGATCTTGGGGCCACTCTTCAAGGACGTTGTGCCATCGTCCATCACCACCTCTTCATGGCTTATTGTCTGGCACCCTTGTTGCAAGGGTTTGATTGGTCGAAGTGGGACCTGACCAAGCCTCAAAGATCCTGGCCTTCGACCACCGCAGCTTGGGTCGAACGGATGGAAAAAATCTTTGGCCAAGAAAGGAAGACTCTTGGCATCTACGATGCCATTAAACTTTCGACCGTGGAAATCAAAATGGACAAAGATCTTCTCATGGTAGCTTTGAGCTTCTGGTGCTCGGCCACTAACACCATGGTTTTCCCCTTTGGTCCTATCGGCCCTACTATCCTTGACGTCTCAGCTATCCTGGGGACCTCTCATTCTGGCCTTCTAGTTGACGTCGCCCTCTATGGGTACCCGTCTAATCTTGACCTCAAAGCATTATACAATGAACTGGGCTGCCAAGATGCTGAGCAAAGAAGGCCAAAAACCTTCAAGAAAAGAAATTCAGAAGCTACACAGGAATTTCTTCAACTACAACACCCTCATCCTTTATTTTGCTGGCCGATGAGAAGAAAACCTTCGGAAGGGAGAGTAGGAGGCCTACTTATTTTACTGGTATAACAAATTTATTTGTTGTACCAAGTCGAATAAGTGCTTGGTCGAGAATATGCCTGTGGCCGAAGCCCTGGCAAGTGGTCACACCTTGGTCCTCAGTTCGGTCGTCCTCGCCAACCTCTTACGCTGCCTGGCCGAGACGACCATCAACATAATCAATTTGCACTAGAACAGCCCTTTCTGGGTTTTCCAACTTTGGCTGCAGGTTTATTTTGCCACCCTTCGACCAGAGATCCCCAACTTCTAATCCACTAAAACGCTCGGTCTTCAGTTATCATCTCGACCGGTGTCTTCTTACTGGGCAGAAGAAGTTTTCAAAAACTTCTTCAGCTTAGAAGACCTTTCTGACGATGAATTTCTAATATGTCGTCGTCAAGAGTACCATTCTTCCATTAGGCTCCCATCATCAGCGTGGAGTGAAGCCGAAGATGCTAATCTTCGCCAAAGCTGGGGGTCGTTCGTGTTAACATGCGACCATTCTTTTGGCTGCGATGCTTGTCGAGTGAGATGGGAAGTCTACCACCTTCATTTCACTGCTCGGTAACTCAGCTACCTCCAAGGTTGCCAGGTGCCTCTACTCACTTCCTGCTCCTTCCTAAGCTGACGACGCATCTCTGTTTCTTTAGAGAGAGAATGCAAGGAGATTGCACGTGAATTTCAATAGAGGTGCAAAAAATTCCATCTTAGGCCAAATGTTCTTGAAACCCTCAGTACCGACATGTTCGCCGACTGGTGGGAAACATACATTTAGGACTTATTTCACACATCGGTCGAGGATGCCGTCAAAAATGTTTTTGGCGACCGCCCAAAGAAAGCCTTGCCCTAAAATCCAAAGAGACGGCTCAAGGTATTTGCTTGCGTCTATCGTTTCACTTTGCCCGTTTGTTTGAACTCTCATCTGATTTGATTTTAGTTTTTTCAGGCAGTCATACAGATGCGGCAGTTGCGGCCGTGGCCAAGAAGAAATTTGCCCTTTCAAGAAAAGAAAACCGTGATTGCACTGTCGAACTTGCCAAGCAAACGGTCTTGCCTAGAGGTTGAAACGATTGACGATGCTCCCTGCTCTAAAAAATGCATCAAGAAGTTGGCGAGAAAAGGGGAGCGTGAGATTTATGTTATCTCTAGCCAAACCACAGGAGCAACCACTGAGTCTCATCGCGCTTCTGTCGTTCAAACCTCAACGGACATATAACCAAACCTTCCCACTGGTCAAGCACTTGAGGTTCGTCCTGTTCACCAAGTCGTGGTCGAGCCAACCGTTGCTCTGGTGGTCAAGGAACCGGCAGTTTTAAGGTCGGCCGTTGCTCTTGTCTTAGAGGAAGTGGCTACCTTGACCGAGAAAAATCTCCCCCCGGATCCAAAAACAAAACCAATGGTCGTTCTGGAGGAAGATGTATGATTATGTTTTTGAAATATTATTATTATTATTATTTTTTTTTTTTTTTAAGATTCCGAATGCTAACAACTCTTATTTCAGGACGACGATAGCAAAGAAATCTCGTTAATGAGTCGTCCTCGACTAACCAATCCTCCACTTATGGTTGAGGCAACTGACCAGGTTGATCCTCTTGCAGCCGATCGTGAAAAATGGCCTCTTGTCGAGCCTAAAGCGACGGCGGAGACACCAATCCATCCGCAAGATCAAGACTTTAGCATTCTTCCACAAAAAAGTTACTTCGGCTTTTGTAAGGCTCGATTCCTTTCTCTCGTTACTTTTTACTATAACAAGTTTGAACCGAAAAATATTAACTGTCAGGTGCTCGATTATTCGTTTCACCGAAAATTCCATACGTCGAAGGGTGTTATTTATATTTCTTGGCCACCTCAGTGGCCGTCGAACGTAGATAACCTTCATCAGCCGCGTGAATTGAGAAGCAGTCTTAAACATTGGGCTCGGCCATTAAGCTCTCTAGGTTCGAGCAATGAACCAAGGGACATGGCCGAAGTCTCATCTCGGCAGGTCTAAAAAAAATTCTCTCTGGTATATTCCTTACGATTTTTC